GTGTGATTGGAGAATATAATAAGTAACAATGGTGAGATGACGAGATTTACATCTTCAAAGCCAAAAACTACAGAGGGTGATATATACTCAATAGTGATTTCAGCGTTTTAATTTTGGAATGTTGTGCTGCTGATAAAACTTCTCACTTTGTCAATCCTGGAATTTAAAATACCGTGGAACAAAAAAGTTTAACATTCTAAAATGTGACAATGATTTGAATATCAGTAACAGCAGCCAATCAAAAATTGTTTTAAAATATTTATGGAAAGTTTTTTTGCCAGTATTTTGTTATGAAATATAGTGTTTTTTCCACGATTTGTTTTCAATCATTTGTAAGTAGTTTTCTTTGAGTGATTTGTTTGTAGTTTGTTGAAGATATTTGTTAGTAGTTTGTTGATGTGTTTTGTTTGTAGTTTGTTCATGGCATGTTATAGTGGTTTGTTAACCTCATTTACGTGTGATTTGCTCTTCTATTAAATATTTTTGAAATACAGTGTTTTGTTAGTCATTTGTTATAGTGGTTTATTTGCTTTTTATCCGTATGAATATGTCGCTGCTGTACATTTTACATAAGATGCATCAATATCAAAGAGTACTTGTATAAACTTGTACTTACATTTTGTTTGCCCCCCCCCCCTTTTTTTAAATAGACTTTATGCTTATTTGTTAAATACTGTGTAACATATTTTATTCAAATTTATTTCACGTGATTTTCAGAACATTTTGATGTTTGTCAGCTGAAGTATTCTTGCAATATAACTACACTGTTTGGCATTGTTTGGCAAATAATCAACTCTGTTGTTTATCCCAGCATTGCTTTCTTAACATTTGTAAAACTAAGGTACATATTGATTTCAATGGTATTAGTTGAATAGTTAATTAAATGGAAATTATTCAAAAAGTATTTGGAAATTAAGTTCAAAATTTTGTTGTTTATTGTACAGTGTATATACTGGTAATTTATGAGATCTAAAGAAATTTTTAAGTATTAAAAATATTTGACTGAACAAAAACGGAGATGAATTTAAATTCTTGTTGTTTTCAGTTGAAGGAACTTGATGATTATGAAGGAGAATACAAAGGCGATCTGTTGTTCAGAAAAGGAGAAAATTTAACCATTATTAAAACAAGGTGTGTACATATGTCATCACTTAAAGTAATGATCAAGCTATCTATGGCTTGGTAGGAATGTCTTCCTGACGTTATCTGAGGTGCTAATATGCTAATATCAAGTTCATAAATATAGTTTTAAACAATGAAGTTAAGATACCTTGCTTTTTGCAGAGAGGATGGTTGGTGGGAGACAGAAAATAAAGATAGAAAAAGAGGAATTATTCATAAAACTTTACTAAAGGTATTAAAAACTGAACAAGGAATTACACAGGCTCAAATTTGTTGATAAAGGAAAGAACAAGAGGCCCATGGCTCCCACCACTGTTGTTCTGATGAAGATCTTTAAACGATTTTTTACTTCCTTATTTTCATGAAGAATTTCGATCCCATATTGTGAACCAAGTTAACCTCAAGGGATAATGATTAAACCAAGCTTGAATCCACATAATGGGATGTTTCAATATCAATTTGACTTACACACGATCCAGAGAAGAACATTCATTTCCTGTACACATGAATGATATAAAATCGTTATCCAGTTTTAGCTCCATCCTAACCCCCAGGAGGTTCATAGTTTTAGAAATGCAAGCATTCTGAGTTTATTCAAAGAAAAAATAAAGAGTAGTCCTCTTAAAAATTACGGCTCTGAGTCCAAAGGCTAAAATTACGTAAAAAATCTTCAGAGAAGAAAGAAATTAATGCAGAGATAATCTATGAGTCTATGACTCAAGAAGGAAGGCTCATATACTAAATATTAGCCCAACATCTGCAAGCTTGTAGAAATAAAGTCTGGAAAACCAAGTGGGACAGAACAACCGACCGATAGGGAACTAAAAAGGGTCCACACAACTTCGGAATGATTGTGTAATAATATGATTTAGTTTAGCCCTTCTTCTCTTGAAATATGTTCCAGCATATTTTCTAATAAAACTATGATACCCTAGTATAGCCCAATCCTAACCCCACTGGGGCTATTTTTTTGTTGTTGAAAAAATCTAAACTATCTCAGAATGCTTGTATATTAATATGACTAATCATATAGCCTTGCTGTTCTTCATAAGAAAAGATTTGTTCCTACATATTCCCTTGTAAAACTCTGGTTGTAGCCTACACTATGATTAGATGAAACTTAAATCTACACTATCTGGGATACCTGCATATTGATAAGCCTAATCATTGCCCTGTTGTTCTTCAGAAGATTTTTGTAACCCCCCTTTTTTTTTCTCATGTAAAACTTTAATGTCCTATTGTGGCCCCGCCGTACCCGTAACGAAATCAACTATTCTTGCTGGTCAGTATGAAATAGAATTAAATGATTGTTAATTTGCTCAGTCATATAATACCGGAAATTTACTAAATAAAATACGTTGTAAACAGTTCTAGTTTTATTTAAATTTTGAAATGATTGTATTACGAGTAACAGTGCATGGAATTAATTAATTTTTTTCTTTCCTTTACTTCAGATTAAAAAAGGAATTAAATACAAAACAAAAATTGGCTATTCTAAATTGAAAAATAATGAAGAAAAACCAAAAGAACAATTTAAAGGGTAAGTACCTTAATTACTCAATTATTTGTATAATTACTGAATAATAAGACACGAATATGGCACTTGGCTTGCAAAGAAGCATGTAGATTGATCACTGCATTTAGATTATCATCTTTCTCCCCATACCAAGGTAGTGGGTATCTAGATCGTGCGTAATGTTTAGCTCCGTATTTTATATGAATACAAGAGCAACAGTGTTTGAAATGCAATTGATCTAAATAGGCATCTGATAGGTACCACATAGAAACGTATTACATACACAAAGCTCAAACGAGTTACTTGTAACCGAAGTGCCTGTTATTGAAATGAATACTTATAAAATCTTAAGTACGATCTATATGTGTGACGTCCAGGTAATACGATCTAACAGCATTGAAGAAAAAAACCTCAGGATTACTGTACAGCAACATTTTCGAGAAGTGGTGTTAATCAGATGTGGACATTTAAAAACTCCAAAGCACTTTTAGAAAAATTGAAATCACAAAAGTTATCCAATATGTAATAACAAAACGAATCATGAACAGGGTAAAAACAACCATTTCCCACAGTAAATCAAAGACCAGACTTTTTGTCATATGAGAAAACTGTTTATTCAATAAAAATAACAGTCTTAAATTTGCATGCCTTGTCATTGGTCATCTTCAAACTTATTTTGTTAAAAAAACATTCAGATTCTACACACAAGTATTGCGAGGTTGATGCTTGAGTTTCGAATTTACAATGCTGGTCTTTCAACAATCTGTTGGAAATACCACGGGTACTTATTGTGCTCCGTTATTACCAGACCTATTTTTGTATTCATACAAAGAAGAATTATTCAAAAACTTCTACATGAAAAGAAGTTTCTTGCAGTTGCCTTCAATTAGATATTTTAGAAATAATCGACGATGTTTTATCCATTAACAATGCTTTTTTATTTTCGTTGCTATATATTTCATTGATATCGAAATTAAAAAAAACACCACAGAGTGTGACACATCTATTTCATGTTTGGATGTTTACTATTTACTAAAGAAAGACATTGATGGCAAACAAACAACTAGACTACCGGTATATGATAAACGTGATCGTCAACATCCCTTATTTATGTAGCATTGTGGAGTTTATATCTCCCAGTTGATTCGATACGCAAATGAATGTTCTACATACGACCAATTTTTAAAACGAGGCAAACTATTGACAAACAAGTTGATGAAACAAGAATTTCAACAGTCTTGTTTAAAGTCATCATTTTGCAAGTTCTATGGTCGAAACAATGACATTGTCAGCAAATACAAATACAATCTATCATTAAGTCGAATGCTGACTGACGTTTTTCATACTAATTGTTAGGCCATTATTTATACACTAAGTTGTCTGCGGATTTTTCCGTTTTTCCCGATCATGACAAGGAGCACACGGCGGGTGTGACCGGTCCGCAGGGTACCTGATCCCATCTCTATGTTTTAGAGGTCCGTGTTTGCTCTGCTCCTGATTTGTATTGTTTGAATGGACTTTAGAGCTTGAATACTGTTGGCTATCTCCATATTTAACAAATAAGTTAATATAAGGAGGATATCAGCAGTCTCCTTTAAAGTCAACATTTCGCAAGTTCTATGGTCGATACAATGACCTTGTTTGCAAACAATCCATCGATAAGTCGAATGTTGACTGATGTTTTTCATACAAATTGTTAGGCCATTAATATCACACTAAAAATCACCTGCAGATTTTTTCGTTTATCCGATCATGATAAGGAGCACACGGCGGATGTGACTGTTCGACAGGGGATGTTTACTTCTCCATGGTACCTGATCCTACCTGTGTTTTCAGAAGTCAAGGTTACCTCTGCTCATGATTTTTATGTTTTAATGGACTTTTCAATCTGAACACTGTTCGTTATCTTCACAATTACCCATGAGAAATTAAGTCGTGCATAGAGATTTTATTTTTAAAGAACAACTCTTAGACTTTTTTTTTCTTTTCTTACACTGAAATAAGAAAGATTTAAGAAATGTTTGTAGTTTCGAAAGATAATGTAGGTACATGTATAACGTGGCTGTAACTTTTCACAAAGGTATATCTCAATAATAATACTGAGGAACTGTACAGAAAATTAAATGTAGACACTCATTACTTTGTGAATTCAGTGTCATTTTTGTTATGAATATTTTCACCTACTAAACTGTTGATTTTGAGAATTTGAGGATGGACAACTCCAAAAATAGAGCAAAATAATTGCATTATTACTCCTAATTGATTTTATGAACTTATAGTTACCTTCAAAAGATCATGAAGAGAAATAACTCCGTATATAAATATAAGCAATGTGTATGAAAATACATGTTTTAAAGAAGAGATGGAGATTGAACTTGGCTTCATTAAATGGTGTTGCAGTAAACCTATAATCAAGGTAGCTAAAGAAGAAGAAGAGGAGGAAGAAGAAGAAGAGGAGGAGGAAGAAGAAGAAGAGGAGGAAGATAATGAGGATGAAAGTGAAGATGAAGATGATAGTGAAGATGAGGAGCAAGTAACTATTGAGGTTAGTATTAAACATTTTTGTCAAGTTTCATGTTTCTGTATGTGGTTTGTCCTTGTAACTTAAGGGCAATGCACAACCCCTGGAAGGATTCAAAAATACGTCTTTCATGTACAAGAGAAATGGAAAGCTCATATATATATGTATCCAAACTTCCAGAGAGGATGGACAAACGGGTGTCATTTACATTATCACATTAAGCAAAACTCACGGAAAATTCGTCTTCGTCTTGAAATTTGCAAATAAGTGAACCGACATTAAGATTTGAGATGGATTTTTTTAAAAGTATGATGTTATGTTCATGTCTTAGAGTTAAAATCAAATTATAAATATGATGTTTTAATGGTAAATTTGTAAGCGACATAACAAATGTCATTTGATCAAATTTTCGTAGAAGGACTGAAATGTAAAAAAAAAAAAATTAAAAAAATAAACAGATATAATGGTTTCGACATTTATACCCCTTATCTTAGAATGGTCCAAATAATATTACTAATATACTTTAACTTACGAATTTATGACACCTTAAAAGGTTCAAATATTAATATATGTCTGATTAATTAGAAAAAAAGTGAAGATGAATTTAAATTATGTGTTTCAGGGCGTACAGGTAGAATGTCTTGATGGTCTTGAAGGGGAATGTGAGGGTAATCTGTCATTCAAACAAGGAGAAATTTTAACTATCATTAACACAAGGTGTGTCTTCACTTGAGGTATTGAGCAAGATATCTATAACTTTTTATCCCCTCGCAACGAGCTTAGAGGGGATATAGTAACGTGCTTGTGTGTGGGTGTGGGTGTGTGCGTGTGTATTTTATGGAAGTATATGTAGTAATTTATATCGGGATTGATCTGCTCTGCTTTGCTGTGATCTTGCTAAGAATTCTCCTAACGTTAATTAATCTGAGGTTTCCTACTGTGAGGATTATATTAAGTATTTGGACAATGAAGTTAAGATACCTTATTTTCACAGAGATGATGGTTGGTGGGAGGCAGAAAATAAAGATGGAAAAAGAGGAACTGTACCTAAAACTTTCCTTCAGGTATCAAAGACTGAACCATGAATGAGGCATGCTCAAATTTGATAATAAAATAAAGAAGAAGTGGATCACATTTAATTCTAATTAAGCCATGAATATTTGTAATAATGAAATATGTGGAGATAACGAACAGTACTCGAGCCCAAAAGTCCATTATACATTACAAAATAGGATCAGAGCAAACACGGACCTCTAAAACATCAGAGGTGGGATCAGGTACTATAGAGGAGTGAGCATCCCCTGCCGACCGGTCACACCCGCTGTGCGCTCCTTGTCATGATCGGGAAATAACGGAAAAATTAGTCGACAATTCAGTATGTAAATAATGGCCATGGCACCTGATCCCATCTTTGATTATTTAGTGGTCCGTGTTTGCTCTGCTCACAATTTGTATTGTTTCCAATGGACCTTTGAGCTTGATTTCTGTTCGTTATCTTCATATTTCATTGTAACAATACCTTTATTAATTTTTTTCTTCCTTTTTTCAGATTAAAAAACAAATAAAAAATAGCATTACATTGCCAGGGAATAGCAATTCAAAAAATGACGGAGAAAAACATGAAAAACTCAAAGAAGAACTTGAAAGGTACAGTACTGTATTTATTCAATAATGTGTGTATATTCTTAAGAGGAGGATTCGACACTGGCTAGCAAAGATGATCACTCCATAAAAATTAGCATCTCTTTATCCCCGCCCTGACAGTAGACATCCAGATCATGCAGGATTTTTGCTCACTTTTAACATGATTACAATACCAACATTTTTTTAATGGCAATTTATTTGTAACATATAAATGAATATTAAAAATACACATAGCACAAACAATTTCTTTGTGGAAAAATAAGTGCAGTTACGAAATTGAAAGTTCCAATTTTTCAGGTAATTTTAAAGTCTATTTCTTCTTATTATTCAAACAAACACAATATTTTCCGTTTAACTTGGTGTTTGAATCGAGACTTACGTTTTAAAAGTTGGTCTTCGGTTAAGCTGACACGTGGGTTTAGACTTTTTTAGAATGTGCATTGAGATAGGGAATCAAATACACGATTAAGTTAATTATAATGAAGGACTGCAAAGAAAATTGCATGTGCCGACACTACTAAAGATGCAATTTTTTGCCAACAACAAATCCAAACATGAATTTAATTTATTAATTCATATAAGACATCAAAAGAAATATGCAAATATCTCCCAAGTACAGGTATGCTTACGTATGTACTCAATCTTGTTTAAAAACGTGTTCCAAATCAGAGGAAAGTCTTAGCTTTGACACCAATAGATAATCTGAAGAAAAATTCTCTTAGTTTATTATCTTGAATTTTGATTAACTATCAAATGTCAAACTTTTAACGAGTAACCGAATAAAAAATATATAATATAAGCATTATTTTGTGAATTCAGGTGCATGGATTTGTATATACTTTGACCTATATTAGTTAAAAGGAATGCAAATATCTAATTTCTTTAATTTTCTTTAAAAATGTAGTTTTTATGATGTTCGAAATTCACACTTTTTGCAGTTTCATTTATTAAACTAATAAAACTTTTATCACTTACGAGACATTATTGAAAAATCTTAAAGAAAAAATTAACTTTATGTGGCAAAAAATTCATTTTACGCAAAAAGCACAGATTTAGTATCTGTATCCATTATTTTTGAAAAAAAAGTGATCTTAAAAGAGAAATCTCCTCCAATGTAAATACATGTACTTGAAATTTGTATCAAAATTCAGATTTTTTTTATGGGAGAGGTGTAACTGACATCAGTTTTTCTAATGGTATTGCAGAAAACTAAAATTAGCTAAAGAAGAAGAGGAGGAAAAAGAAGAAGAAGATGATGAAAGTGAAGAGGATGAAAGTGAAGAGGGAGATGAAGAGAAAGATGATAGTGAAGATAATAGTGAAGATGATAGTGAAGATGAGGAGAAAACAACTATTGAGGTTAGTAATAAATAGTTTGTCAAGTTTCTTGTTTTTTTTATGTTCTCTATCTTTGTATTTTACAAATTTATGAAATTTAATGAAAATTTAAGACACAAACAAAAAATGGAGATGAATTTAAATTCTGTGCTCCAGGGCTCTTATGCGGAAGGACTTGTTGATTTTAAAGGTGAAAACGAGGAGGATCTGTCATTCAAACAAGGAGAAATTTTAACCATCATCAGCAGAAGGTGTGTGACATCACTTGAGGTTTTGAGCAAGATATATAAACTTTTTAAAAAATATATCTTTATGACATGTTCGGTCATTCAAAGATCTGAAGTATGCTTATATACGGTTTATATATGAAGTGTCGGAACAATGAAGTTAAGGTACCTTGATTTTTTTTTTGTAGAGAGGATGGTTGGTGGGAGGCAGAAAATAAAGATGGAAAAAGAGGAACTGTACCTAAAACTTTCCTACAGGTATCAAATGTATGTATAGTACCTAAAACTTTCCTTAAGGTATTAAAAAGTGAACCACGAATGAGGCATGCACAAATTTGTTGATAAAATAAATGATAGAAATGAATGAATTTTAAATCTCTTCCGAGGAAGCCTTTTTGTACATCAATTAATTATTGTTTAATAAAATAAAATGCTAGGTCTTTTTTAACCGTAATAGAAGATTCAGGACATAAGGTCTCTGGTCTGTCTGTCTGTTTGACTGTCTGCATTTTTAAATTCTATGGTCGTTATGTCGTTATAATGACCTTGTAAGCAAATACAACCTATCATTGGGTCGTATTTTGACTGATATATTTCATACCAATTGGTAGGATTTATACAAAATTTGACTACGGGTTTCTCAGTCTACCTGATAAATAAAAAGGGCTCACGGAAGGTGTGACCGGTCGACAGGGGATGCGTTTTCCTCCTAGGCACCTGATTCCACCTCTGGAATTTCCAGGCCCCGGGATCATGAGGCATCTAAAGCTTAAGTCAAAAAATGTATATGGCGCTGAAATTATTTAGAAGTTAAGCGGTCCAAAATGAAAATGCTTTACAATTTTGCATCATCAAACTGCTGTTCTAAGCAAATTAAGAGTTTCACTTAACAAGTAGTTAACATTTTATAGATGATTAAAATTTAGACTTAAGTCTAAGTCTGTTTCATGATCCTGGGGCCAGGAGTCTGTGATTTATGCCCTGTTCACAGATTTGTATTGTTTGTAGTTTTTTTTTTGTTTTTGTTTTTTTCGGGGGGGGGGGGGGGGAGTGTTAAATTGAATACTGCTCGTGATCGTCACCTATTTCATTACCATCGTTCGACCGAATAACCGATATATATATATATATATATACATGTACATGTATATATATATATGCACTTACGTGTAACAATGCATGTAATTAATCTGATTTTTTTTCTTCATTTTTCAGATTAAAGAACGAATCAAAAATAGCATTGCATTGCTAGGCAATTATACATCGCAAAATGATGGAAAAAATCTTAAAGAAAAGTGTGAAAGGTAATGTACGGTATTTATTCTGTAATTTGTGTATCTACTAAACAATGAGAGGATAAGAATGTGAATGTGCGTTTTCACGCCATTCAAATTCGTTATCATTTCTCTATCCATGTCAGGACGATAGACATCTAGATCATGATATTTAGCTCACATTTACATCATTACAAAACCAACAGCTTTTTATGGCAGTTAATTAAATTAAGCATGTAAATATTTGTACCAAAATATATATAGAAACGTTGTATTGAAGAGGTTAAGATTGAATTCAGCTTCATTGAATTATGTTGCAGTAAAACTAAAATTAAGCCAGCTAAAGAAGAAGAGGAGGAGGAAGAAGAAGAAGAAGAAGAGGAAGATGAGGAGGAGGGAAGTGAAGAGGAGGAGGGTGAAAGTGAAGAGGGAGATGAAGAGAAAGATGATAATGAAGATAATAGTGAAGATGAGGAGAAAACAACTATTGAGGTTAGTAATAAATAGTTTGTCAAGTTTTTTGTTTTAAGCTCACCTCAGCTGAAAGCTCAAGTGAGCTTTTCTGTTCACCCGTTGACCGTCGTCCCTAGGTCCGTCTGTCTGTCCATCCGACTGAAAACTTTTCACATTTTAAACTTCTTCTCAAGAACTATTGGGCCAATAGTAAACAAAGTTGGTTCAAAAGATTTTTGGGTTAAGGAGAGTTTAAATTATTAAAATGAAGGGCCAATTAAGCGCCCTTAAAAGGGAAGATAGTCAAGAAAAGACAAAAATAGGGTGGGGTCATTAAAAAATCTTCTTCTCAAGAACCACTGGGCCAGAAAAGCTGAAACTTATGTGGAAGCTTCCTGAGATAGATAGATAGGATAGATTCTAAATTGTTCAAATCATGGGCCACAATAGGGAGTCAAAGTTTTACACTGAAATACATAGGAAAAATCTTCTTCTCAAGAACCACTGGGCCAGAAAAGCTGAAACTTATGTTGAAGCTTCTTGAGGTAGTGTAGATTCTAAATTGATCAAATCATGGTCCCCGGGGGAAGGGTGGGGCCACAATAGAGAATCAAAGTTTTACATTGAAATATGTAGGTAACATCTTTTTAAAAAATCTCTCAAGAACCACTGTGCCAGAAAAGCTGAAACTTAAGTGGAAACTTCCTGAGATATTTTAAATTGTTCAAATCATGACCCCCGAGGGTAGGTATGGGCCACAATAAGTATTACAATGGGGAAAATCTGGTGAAGAACAGCAGGTCCAAAGTTACTCAGGTGAGTTCTTGGGCCTCTTGTTATATGTGGTGAAGCTTTGTATTTTACAAAAAAGAAATTTAAGGAAAATTTACGAACTCAAAATGAATGACGATGAAAAAATAAATGTGAATTTAAATCTGTGTTAGGGTTCTCAGATGGAAGGTCTTCTTGATTATGAAGGGGAATACGAGGAAGATCTGTCCTTCAAAGAAGGAGAAATTTTAACCATCATTAACAAAAGGTATGTGTCATCACTTGATATATTGAGCAAGATATATATGACTTGTTAGGTTTATAATCACATCCTTTGTTTGGAGAATGAAGTTAAGATACCTTGATTTTCGCAGAGAGGATGGTTGGTGGGAGGCAGAAAATAAAGATGGAAAAAGAGGAACTGTACCTAAAACTTTCCTAAAGGTACAAAACATGTTACACAATTATGTTTATCTTTTTAAGTTTTATTTGATGACAAATTGCTTTCACCTTTTTTATGAATATGTAACATTCTGTAACATGTTTAAGTTTTTTAACTTATTTGTACTATAAAGTAAAAGTATGTGTGTATTGGTACACTATCTGTATAATGTCGACATAGTCAAAAATTTATAAAATATGATGCAAAGTATTTGTCTCAAAAGTATTTTGTTTACATGTTGTACACTACTTGTGAAAGTCAGAAATTCATTATAGTGTATATTGAAGTTAATTGTAGGTAAGAAAATTGAAGTAAATTGTGCAAATATGAACAGTTTGAATATTAATTGTATTTATCTAACTTTTGATTTATGTTATAGATCCCATGCAAAACCAGATAGAGCCATTTAGTGCCATTTCGTCAAAGACGTCTATTACTTGTAACCAAATCATAAATAAACTATCATGTTTTAGAAGAAGACTTTGTTTTATAAGCCGCAATATTGTACAAAAAGTGGGGCGATGTCTTGCATACGATCTGTTTTCATTATTCTACAGGAAATAATGGAAAACAACAGAATAATTTTTTTAAAAAAAGGAACACACCAGCAATGTTTGTCTCTCCATGACTCTTTTTCTTGTTGCCCCCCTCTTTTTAGCTGACCTCGATGAAGTCGAGATGAGCTTATGCTATACCCCGGGGTCGGCTTTGGCATCCTGGTTAAAGTTTTAGGAGCAAGTCCATTTGCCAAGTAACAATAAGACTTACTTGAACCAAACTTCCGTAGATGATGCATCTAGGGTTGCATAGTCTTGCTTCGGATGCTGGATTATTTTCCGGATGAATGATCATATAATTTTTTGAAGCGGGTCCATTTCCAGGTAACTAAAAACCGTTGCTGACCTCATTCTCAGGAATTATGCATCGAAGGATGCACACTACTAGACATGCTTTAAATGTAGGAATTTACCTTTATTTTCCGGATAAGTTTTATGAGCATGTCCATTCCCAAGTAACTATAAGCCTTATGGTGACCAAACTTGCATGGATGAAGCATTTCGAGATGCACACAAGCAGACTTGCTTCAGTTGCTAGATCCCATTGCACCTACATTTTTTCTGGATGAGTGACCAGGTAAAAGTTATTGGGGTTATTATACGTAAAATTTACATGGACGATGATTTACTACCATGATTTGCTCTTCTATATGTTATTGTTCTTATTTGAGTTTCAATTCGAAGTCTTCTACTCAGCGATTTACTGTGTGTTCCGTAAGCTTCGGTGACAACTATAATGAAAAAGATGAAGATAACGAACAGTGGATCAATCTTTAAAAAAAAATCCACAAACCATACAAATATGTGAACAGGGCATAAAACACGGATCCACAGGAATTCCAGAGGTGGGATCAGGTGCCTAGGAGGTCACACCCGCCGTATGCCCTATGTATTGATCAGGTAGACGGAACATTCCATAGTCAAATTTAGTGTAAAAACGAAGACCTAATAATTGATATGAAACACGTCAGCCAAAATGCGACCCAAATAGGTTATATTTGCTAACAAGGTCATTAATTATAACCACCAAGAAATTTACGAAATGCTGACTTCATAAACTTCTCCTTGGCATTAACTTCTGATTGATTGTAGTTTTAAGTCACTTGCAAGATTATTTCAATCATATGAGACGTCACCGGATGCCCGTAAAACTTAAATCTTAGATATATACTCGGCACTCAGGGCCATTGAACACTGAGAGATCTTTAGAATGTGAATGCTTGTCATGACAATTGGGGCCTCGGTTTTTTAAGGTCGTCCACTCTGTCTTCTTTGTCTAGGTTGATAAGATTTGATTAATCGAGTTCCGTGTTCTCAGGTTGAAACCAACATTGTAAAGTATTTCCCTAGATTTTATGTAAAATGTTAGTAACGTATATCTTCATCCTGACACTCTTTTGGACATTGTCACCGTATAAACTTCTTTTCAGTTCCATTGTTGTAGATGGGCTTTCAACAAATAATTTCAGCAAGGTTGCATTCAGAATGAAAGGTGAACATGTGGTTCCAAAAAGAACTACTTTAAATCTACTAGTATGATTTCGCTGTTTTGATTCTGTAATTTCGCAACCAAAAGAATCTAATGTCTCTTTCTCTTCCAAGCCAAATTGGAGAAATGCCTTAATTTCTATGTCTGTTGAGATGGCATTCTGCCTCACCCGACAGTTAATAATATAAGAAGAGTTGTCAGATCATTTATTGAGGAGGATTTGTTTCCCGGCAACATTAAGGCTTGCGACGTTTTTAGATCCCTTTCAACTAAAGCCATAAGAGTGGTGGTTGAATCTTCCTTGACAGGATGATGTGGCATAAAGTGGACTTGTTTATTTGTTTCTGTTTCTTCTTCTTCTTTCTTCTTCCATACGAGACAAACTCTAAGTAGAGCGTTATACTCGGGTACTGCCACGCTTCGGACAAGGCTAAAAACCCAATCAGGTCACTATGTACAATAAAAAAAAAGGTAAAAACGACTGGCGTCCTTAGGAGATGTTGGTAGACAGCTGGCACCTCGTGCATGAGTCCAGCTGTGACTTGAAGGACTCTAACGTTGGTGCTGAGGCAACTTCAGATGGTAAGTGGTTCCAGTCTAGTATTGTTCTCGGAAAGAAGGAGTAACGGTGTGCATCTATCCGAGTGTGTGGTAGACGGAAAGTGTGGTTGCCTCTGGTCCTGCTGTCACTGGATGTTAGGTACAGATCTGCAGGAATTGCCACTAATGCATGTTTGATTTTATAGAACAACACAAGCCTGATTTTCATTCTTCTTATCTGTAGTGGTTCCCAGTGGAGATCTTGAATCATCTGGGTAACACTGCCAGGATGGCGATCATGATAGTTCTTGGTGGCGAATCGTGCTGCTCTTCTTTGCACTTTCTCAAGCTGATGGATTTGCTTGGAGTTCCAGGGATCCCATGCTGCGCAAGCATAATCAAGGATTGGTCGAACTAGTATGCTGCAGACCTTGCAGATGTCCGGCATCCCCTCATTTTCCGCCTGATAAACCCCAGTGTCTTGTTGGCTTTGGATGCAATGTTATTGATGTGGTTGTCCCATCGTAGATCTTTACTGATGGTGACTCCAAGGTATTTGCTGGAATCAACCACGTCTAGGAGGTGCCCGTGTATAGTGTAGTTAGCAGTGATGGGATTCCGCTTGTTGGTAATTTGTATAACTACGCATTTTTCTGGGTGGAATGCCATTTGCCAGTCCTCCTCCCATCTAGTCAGAGAATCCAGATCCTTCTGTAAGGTATCTGCATCAGCCTTGTTTTTAATTGGTCTGCATAGGAGACAGTCGTCTGCAAAAAGGCGAGCAACTGACAATGTCCTTTCAGGTAGGTCGTTGATATAGAGGAGGAACAGTAAAGGTCCTAAGACTGTCCCTTGTGGCACTCCTGACACCACTGGTGCAGTTTTGGAAGTGTGGCCTTCTAGAAGCACTTGCTGTGTCCCATCTGTTAGGAAGTCTGTAATCCACTGTAGAGTGGTGCCTCGTACCCCATAGTAGTTTAGCTTATGAGCTAGTCGCTGGTGGGGGACTTTATCAAAGGCTTTTGAAAAGTCAAGCAGAATAATATCTACTTGACCTTTCTCTCCTAGATTCTGAGCCAGTCCGTTGATGGTGGACACCAACTGAGTTTCACAGGAACGCTTTGTACGGAAACTATGTTGACTGTCTGAGAGGATGGAATTCTCATCTAGATGGTCCATGACTTGGCTATGTATAATATGTTCCAGAAGTTTACAAGGAATAGATGTTAGTGATACCGGTCGATAATTTGAAGCT